ACTGTAATTATATCATGAGATAATATTGAAGTAAAAAAACATTGAAAAAAATATTGCATTATTAAAATATATCTTACAAGTGAAGAAAAAAAGTAACATTGTCTGGAAAGTAGGATATCTCTTGGAAAAATCTTTTCCCCAATAAGAGTCTGAAAGAAAATGGGACAAAGTTAGTATTTCAATCATTGACAAAATATTGTTGTGATGTAATTAAAAAGTTTGACTTGAGCTAATCTTCTATACGACAATTAATCCCACCAAACCTCAACCTTTTACCCTATGCTAGCTGCCTGCCTTAAAGTAAGCATCGCATGCTATATATGGATCAGAATCTGCAAGTTAGTGTACTCTGCTATCTGTTTTACTTGATTACAATCTACTCCATCCATTGATATCTAACATAATCACATGCAATCCCACACAATCATGATCTAGCAAACAAGAAGACCAACTCGATCTAAATGGCATTGTCTGTTCACCCACCCTTGTCAACTAGTATACAGGTAAGCAAAAAAATTAATGTTTGCAGGACAAGACTGGTGCCTGGTGGGATGTGGATTGCTATGGTTATTGTTATAATCTAGTGTCAGACTTCCTCATTCCAACCGACTTTGGAAAAAAAACAAAGCTCATCATTAGCGATGAGTTTAAAGTACTTTTATTATATAAAAAAAAAGACTTTCATAGAGTAAATGCCATAAATAGAAATCTGTATGCTATAAAAAAAAATGTGAAAAATAGCGATATGTCCAATCAGAAGCGCGTATAGCATTTAAAAAAACTGTAAAAATGTAACCAATCACAACACAGAAAAACCGTAATCAGCCAAAAAAAAAGCGACGTTCACAAAACTGAAATGGCTTTTCTCACATACTGCGCCAAAAAAACAAAATGGCTGAAGGTGAACTGTGTTTGTTGATCAAAATCCACATTAAAAAAACTTATTAGTGGACAGGAAGGCAAACATAACTAAAGCAAAGTAAGACAAAAAAATTTTCTTCAAAAGAATTAAGATTTTTGCCATCCAGAATGAACATGAAAAAAAAGAAAACATCAGCCAAAACTATAAACTTAAACAAACAGAAGTTTGTCAAAAAAATGTTCACTGAGTCCAGGTCATTTTATACCAAGTTTTGATCATTTTAAAAAAAACTTAACCTAATCTCCATGCAATTTAGAAAGACAGGACTTCAGTAAGACAAGAGATGTACCTGTAGGAAAGCTGAATCAGCTCAAACGAGGGAAATTGCAGCGCGTTATCTTACATACGGACCAAGAGAAGTAGGTTTCTCGACGAAGAACTTTTATTTCTTACTCTACTTACTATAAAATCTCGCTAAAACTTGTACGTTCTTGCAGCTTCAGTGGAAAGTATGACTATTAATTTAGTTTTTGTTTATATCATGTTTATTAAGTTCAATTATTTGTGCATTGTACTTTTATCTACATAAGCTCATATTGAGTTTGTTTCTCGTAATAGTTGAACAAGCTTATTAAAAAGTATGCCGAATGAAAGAAAAAAAATATATATAATAAACAGCTTATAGCATGGAAAGTGCTTTGTACGGGAAAAAAATCACTCGTTGTTTGCATCGATCATAAACTCACTTGCTCGTTCCTAGCTCGTTTGTTGTATGATGCAAACAACTCGTGAATAAAATCCCGTACGGCGCACTTTCCATGAAATAAACTATATATATAAAGAAGAGGACCTACTATTAATCAGTCACTTCTCACCTCAGAGACACCTCTATGTGTTTCCCATTGGTACCCTTAACTACAATTGATGAAGGCTGTTTTTCAATTACAAGGCATCTAAAATGCAATTGTATATCAATATTGATTGTGTTCATATTTTTAAAGAAATTAAGTGTAAATCCTGAAGTACACTAACTGTCAGTACCTTTTGATAAACGCAGCAAAAGTTCTTTTTGCTTCATTGTACATTCCTTTGAAATATTCAGACAACTCAACTTCCCAGTACTGAAAAGTAAAAAGAAAGTGAACAAAAAAAGAAAAAGGATGGGATGGGAGAGGAGGAATGTGAAAAAAAAGGAAGAATCTGTTAAAAAGATAACCAATAATTTTATCTTCTATAAAAAAAAAATGTATGAAAATGAATTAAAATAATTATTTATGAAAACAAAATGCTAAAAAAAAGCATTTAAAATTAATACATGATATTTGTATTATAATATTTCTTGGTATAAATTCACATTCATGAATAGGGTATTTTAACCTATTCTGTGAAATAATTCAGGCTGTCATTGACTTCAGATTTCGAGTGTTTCAATAACTAAGGCATTTCTGCTACCACTATACTGCAACATATAGAGATCAACCCTGTATGGAATGATAATATTGGTTTATTTGGACAAAACTGCATGCATTACCTGCTTCATTTGTTGCATTTGTTTCAAGAGCAACAGAGAAATCTTTTCACAACTATAACAATTGAATTGATGATCAAAAAAAAATAATATAATAGTATAATTTGTGAAGAATATATATCTTATATGACATAAAAAAATCTTTAAAAGAGCAATTAGGTGGCATGGGTTAGAGATAGGACTATGAAAACCTATAATTGGCACTGCAGAAATGACTGGCTATCTGGGAATGAGTGTCTAAATTATATAATCTGCCTGAGAAATGAGCCCAACCACAAGAACATTAGAATCATAAGGAAAGTAACCTAATTTTTCAAGTTTTATGTATTTTTCCTTCAATGACAGATGAATCTGCTATATTCTAAAATAATTATGTGAAAATTAACAAAGAATTGTCTAGTTGAATGGGTAGATAGATGATTGTCCATACCCAAACCACTTGCATTTCTTTAAAAAAATTTAAAATATATACTATTTAATACACTATCATTCTTAGGTGCCGCTCATTTCTTTATAATTGCATAAATTTTAGAATCTTAACACCTTGTGTTTCCTTCAAACTTTCTGCAGTGGTCAATATGCTCAATATTATAGTATAATATAAGACAAAATAAGGATACTTTTCAACATGCTGA